CACACCCTTCAACTGTAGAAACTGTCTTATTATTTTACTTTATGGAGCAGCCTCGTTGTACTTCACCCCGAAACCTAACTCAAAACAGATTCAGCTTCCACAGTTGCTAAAAACATCAAAACACCTTAACAAAAGGCACTTACATTACCAACACCTCAGCTGGCTGTGGGAAATATGCAGCCACACAAGTCAATCTCCTCCTTAGATACTCCTTTGGCTAAAACAGTGAAATTACACGGACACCACATCTCAGCTCCCAACTACTGTGTGTGGCCCAGATAAAGGAATGATGTTAAACTGGTTTAATCAGAGAACCTCTCTACTACCTCCCATTCTGCAACTGCTAGTTTTACACTAAGTTTTCTGTGTTGCTTTGTGACATTTTAAACAATTCATAGCTTTTCCTATGAAGAAAGGCAGTCATACACATGGAGTCTACCAAAGGCATTTTTAAAAAGTACAAATTGGTCCTCTCTGTGTCAGGAATAACTAAACAAAAAGAGAGAATGTGCAGGACCACACACCATCTTAGTTTCTCATTTTTACCTTTCACTAATGAATGAACAGCTGTTTAAAGTGATCAATCCTAGAAATGCAGCTGGGGAAGGAGGCAAAAAATGTTTCTACCTTTCTCCAGCCTCCCGTGCCCTCCCCCAAAAAGCTGCTGCTGAAAGTCAGAGAAACTTCATGAAAAGTGCAGGATACCACATGAAAACTGCTGTAGGTAAGAGAAGTAATCCCATTCGCTACTATGAATGGAGTAAGCACTCACACATGTGCAGGTGGGGATGTCTGCCAAATTCCCCTATGCATTGTAGCCTGACTCACTACTGTTCTGTAGGTTCCCCCAGGCTTCAGGAGAGCTTTTTCAAAGGGCACAGGAGGGCTGGAGACAGATGAGAAGCAAAAAACCCAGCATGTCTGCTAGCTCAGCGCCCATACGTTTGGATTCAACTCCAAGATTTTACAAGCTAAATTGCAGATAAGCCTTTTTGCAATTCATGAAACCCTACAAGTTAGCAGTGCAATCTAGCCAGATTTCAATGGGATAGATCTTAACAGGCACCCCTTTGAATTAATGTGACTTTAAAGTGCTCGGCACTGGCAGAACTGTGCCCTAGTTACTTAATGTAAATCAAACCATCGTAAAACCTTTCAGTTAACAATGATAAGCTTCAAATATAAGCAGAAGTACTTTGCTGCTTGTGAAGTGCCAAGAAACAGGAAAATGGGAAAAACTAGGTTCTGCATTTGGATCCTTTAGGGAACAATCCTAAGCAGGCCTACTCAGAAGCAAGCTCCATGTTATTCAGTAGGGCTCATTCCCAGGAAAGTATTCTTAGGACTGAAACCTTGAACTGTTCCAACTGAGTAGGTTTGTAGGTAGAAGACAAATGTTATGACTGGATCCCAAAAAGTATTACCAACTCAAATTCCAATTTACCTTAGGGACACACTACAAAAAAAACCACCTCATTCCTTTATTTCCTTTTAAATTAAGGGGAAACATAACTTGGGGTTATATTAAATATTAAAAAGGCAGAAGAACAAAAAACAATAATTTAAGAGAATGCAAATATATCAAAAGATTCACTTTTCCTAGATAGAGTTTTCTAACATATGCAAATAAGGAAAACACACATACATACATACTTCTGGTTTGTTTTACGACATCCATTCCATTCTAAATCTCTTCTATGGCCTTATTCAGATAATAACTATGAACAAACCTCACGGCCACTCCCTTACCATCATGCCAGCGAGTGCAACTGAAGATTTCTCTCACTTTGCAAGTCTTCAGTCTAACTTAAATTCATCATGAAATTCAAATTCACAAACCTGGGCACTGGAGTTTGTGTCTTCGCTGCAAACCAGAATTCTAAACCACAGTTTAGAAATCCCAGTTTGTGGGGAAGGCAAAAGTTCCAATGTCCAGGTGCTCACATTCAGACATTACAACAAACTGGAGTTACATAGAAGTCTTCTGCTGTGTTCCATACACAAGCGGAAGGAGGCAGCACGTAAATACAACCATTAATCAAATTCAACGGAGGCTTGTTCATGATGTCTGAATGCAGCCCATGTCTTTCACAGTGCTAAGTATATATAAGCACTTTACTCTGCTAACGGTCACAAAACAAAGACATTCCAAATGGTATATCAGAAATTTCACTTTTAGCAAAAGTGAATTGTTTTATCTGCTCATTTTCTTATACAGAAAGTTTATATGAAAAATACTACACTCTTATAACGTTAATATCTACATAGATACTGACTTGCACAACTAACCCTTCATAGTATTAGAAGTCCTGTGATGCTATCCCATCAGGTCATTGCTGATGTCGGGAACCCAAAATACTACACCCAGTGTTCCAAAGTATGCACTGGACACCTTTACCACTGTAGCCACTCACATCCACAACAAATATGCAATGTAGCCTGGGAAAACTAGCAAAAACAACCAACAACTACCAAAAAAAACACCCCACCATGCATGCACAGAAGTGTTTTACACTCTGGCAAGAGCCTCTTTGTATCCCAACCTATGATTTGAACGTTATTGCTCTATTAGCACAAGGTTGGCCAAGCAAAAGGGGGGGGAAATACAGTAATTCAAGTGTAGCTAGTGGAAACACAGTGAACTTTCGCACTGAGTTCAAACAGGCAGCATACTGGTCAATGTCATGTTGCTCTGGAGAGTAATAGTATGTAGCTTTCCTGCAAGGGGGACTTTATTACAGATAGAAACAAGAGCCTGTGAAAGCACGTAAAAATACTGACAAATTCTGGGCTTGGGTAAACTTCCATATGAAGTTAATTCACATTAATTCACAGAACCTTTGGAACCCACGGGGGAGTATGAAGAGAACTCTCGAACGGCAGTTGGCAACATCATTTTGGTAAGCTTCCAGTGCAGCCAAGCCACTGTGGGTGAATCTGAAGATGAGCCAGGAGAGATGTTAGTTCCAGATGCACACAGGATGGCCAAGATCATACCTTTCATGGGACCAACAGTGGGCCACGTTACATCATGGCAGCAACATCATGCCATTGCTGTACTGTGTACAGTGGCTAACTCCTAGCACGTGTATCCAGTGGAGTAACACTTGACCAGTTACCAGCCTGAGACTCCATGCAAAGACTACTTCACCGTACCATCATATGATACAGGATGTTGACTAGACCTGTACTGGCAGGGTTGGAAGCAGGAAAAGTTCCAAGAATGACTGCAGAGCTTTGCAGACTCCTAGGAAAGCTCTGCTCTACCCCTGCAAACATTCAGTTCATCTAACAAAATGCATCAACCATCAATTTAGATCCTGGCCAATTCACTATAAGCTGGGCCAGTGATCCATCAGTGGAACACACTGAGAGATGCATATTGTCCCCTTCTCTCCCAACAGTTCTTTCCCACCTGAAAGCTGATTCCTAGGGTTGCAAGACCTGTGTGGAATCATAACTATGTGGGTCAGTGGGCTGTGCTGAAGAGGGGGAAGGAGATGAGATCACTCCTCCTACCTCTTCTGTCAATAGAGGTGCACTGACTGAAAAGGGAAGAACGAGGACAAGGTGTCTTCCTCCCTTCCTCCTCCTTAGCACAGTCCACACTCCACCCCACATGGATATTCATCTACGCAGATCCCACAATCCAAGGAATCAATTTTCCTGAGGTCCAAAAGAACTGCTCAGGTGAAGGAAACAAGGGAAAGCACCTTCCATTGACAGATCTCTGGATCCAATTCACAGTTAACGGGGCAGAATACAAATTGGGGGTTGATGCATTTTCCCAAAGGTGGAAAGGACAAGAAAGACCCACAATTGCCGGCTCCAGCTGTGTCAGAATGACCTACCCAGATATATGTCCACAGCCCACTCATGCACGGGGCTATGAGTTCATGGTGTGTTATAGTGTGTGTTTGTGTCTATCATTCTGGTTATTGAAGACCAAACTAGTGGCACCTTGGAGACTATCAAAAGTGTTCATGAGTCAGAACTCACTTCATCAGATGTATGTCAGTCTCCAAGGTGCTACTGGACTCCTGGACTTAAGGGAATACACACACATACATATGTAAATTAGATATTGCACCCTTTTATAAGAAAACCAGTGTTAGATTATTCAGGTTAAACAGGAGACGTTGAGGTACAATGGTACGCTCTTCACTGACACCGGTAATCTAACCATTTAGATAAAAGGGCCTGGGATATTTCTACAAAATAATTTTGCCCTCAAATCCAATTGCACTGATAACAAAAAATAACTTTGCCTAACGAAAATAGGCAACTCATTGAACACCCTCAGTTGATGAACTCATGTACAGACTGAAATATAACCATGATTCTGCTTTGCCACTTCTTCATCCCTGAAATGGAAACACTGACACTGCAGTTGCAGGTAGCCGCATCGGTCCAAAACAAAATCCATAAATGAATGTCATGTAATACTTTGGTTAGTCCTAATGAAAGGTAACCAAGAAGAGTGTACAAGTTTTCAAGTTCTCCAGAACTGTCAGTTCAACATGCAGCCTATTAAGAGTTCTGGAAAACTTGAAAGCTTGCACACTATTTTCTTTTACTTTTGTTCCAATAGAAGATATTACATGGTTTTTTGCTTACAGACACTAAGGCTTCCCAAGACAAAGAAGTGCAATAAGATTTGGGACCAAAAAAGGATGGTGCACGAGGCACTCCCCCCACACTAAAATATAGTTTGCAACAGTAAAAATAAATTACTTTGGAGGTGATTAATATTGGAATATCAATGAACAATTCACAATGAATTAAAACCTCTGAAGCATCTTTGATTCAGCAACCTGCTCTGGAAACAGCCAATCACAAGTATTTTCAATATTCATAGTAGTCATATTTTTAAACAAACCTCTTCCAAACATCATTTTCCCCTTCAGATTTAGGTTTTGTAAACAGAAAAAGAGAAATGGTAAGTCCTTCCACAGAAGGATATATTCGATCATCAGCAAACACAGGAGAAACATGGGGAGAAGTCACAACTGCTCTGTTCTTATATTACACTTAATGTGCAATACACATACTTAATCACTGTCCGATTCTTCCTTGAATTTTGCTCTGATGGCTTGGCCATTCTGAAGTGGCATTTCCTCATAGTCACTCCTGCCAAAATACAAATTTTACAACATTTCAGACATAAGCAACACAAATTATAATTCTGAGAAAAGACGAGAAATTCATATCAATCAACTCTACATCATTCTAAAGTAGTGGTTCCCAACCTGTGGGCTGAGGACCCCTAGAGGCCAGGGAGTTATTTGCAAGGAGTCCACAAATCCATCCAGCTTGGGCCAGATTTCTGCCCCCCCCCCGGGGGGGGGGCTCACCTTCATAGCAACCATACCTAGAGATACATACTTGGGTTATCAGGTCTGGAGAGACACTTGAAAAACTCCTTACTGGTATTTTGGGATACATTCCAGATCTGGATGCACATTAGAAAATTCCAGTCAATACCACTATCCCAATCCCAAATATTTATGGTTGATTTTATTTATGTTAATTATAGTCTGCCTTTCTCACTAGGACTCAAGGTGGATTACAGAGTATTTCCAGAAATATTTGGGAATATCTGGAAATATGTGGGGCTGGTGTTTTATTTATTTATTTATTTATTCCTATTTCTATTCTGCCCTCCCCGCATGGCAGGCTCAGGGCAGCTCACAACAGGCTAAAATACAATAGATTAAATACAATAAAAACATAGATGCATCAACATTGCAACAATCTAAAATTCGAACAGTAATCAGATTTATATATAAAGTGTTGTAGGTATAGATGGTGGTGGCATCTCAGAGCAGTTTTAAGTGGTATGGTGTAGCTATGCAGGTATTGCTAGCTGTTCTTATTATTCTTAGTATGAGGGCCTTGGCTGTTCAGTTATTAGTAGTTCAGATGTTATCAATGTGTCAGTGGCGGCTCCTAATCAAAAGCCTGGTGGAAGAGCTCCATTTTACAGGCCCTGTAGAACTGTAGAAGGTTCCGCAGGGCCCTGATGTCTTCTAGGAGCTCATTCCACCAGTATGGAGCCGCCACTGAAAAGGCCCTGTCCCTGGTCGAAGCCAGTCTGGCATATTTTGGGCCACGGAGAGTCAGGCGATTTTGCGACCCTGACCTCAGTGCTCTCTGGGGGACATATGGAGAAAGGCGGTCCCTCAGGTAGGCAGGCCCCCGATCATATAGGGCTTTGAAGATCAATACCAGCACCTTGAAGCGAATCCAATATGCTATTGGCAGCCAGTGCAATGCCTTCAGCACAGGCTGGATATGCTCTCAAATTGAGAGGCCCATCAACAGCCTGGCTGCTGCATTTTGCACTAGCTGCAGCTTCCATATTTGGGACAAGGACAGCCCCATGTAGAGAGCATTACAGTAGTCTAATCTCAAGGAGACCATAGCGTGGATCACTGTTGCCAGGTCATTGCATTCGAGGAAGGGAACCAACTGCCTGATCAGCCAGAGATGGTAAAAGACTGCTTTGACAGTGGCTGCTACCTGGGCCTCTATTGTTAAGGCGGCATCCAGGAGCACTCCCAAACTCCTGACCCTCGGTGCTGGTACTAGTGGCGCCCCATCAAAGGTCGGTAGTGGGATCCCTACCCCTGACCCACTCCGACTCAGGCACGGGCCCTCCATCTTCGTCGGATTCTATTTCAATTGGCTCAGTCTAAGCCAGCCCGCCACAGCCTGCAGTGCCCGGTCCAGATCTTCTGAGGTAGAGTTGGACTGGCCGCCCAACAACATATATAGCTGGGTGTCATCTGCATATTGGTGACACCCTAGCCTATGCCTCTGAGCAATCTGGGCAAGGTAGCACATGTAGATGTTAAATAACATCAGGGATAGCACTACCCCTTGAGGGGCCCACAGATCAGCGAGTGCCTCCGGGACGTCTGATCTCCTAGCACCACCCTTTATCCCCAGCCTTGGAGAAAGGAGACAAGCCATTGCAAGGCAAACCCCTGAATCCCAGTGCTTGACCTGTGAAAGAGGCTTTTTGCAGGTTACCCAGGCAACTGGTGGCGGGAGGCAACTCTCACAGGCAAATGGGATCTCATGTTTGAGGGAGCTTCTGCTGGCATTCTCTTGTTTTTGACACTGGTTCTGTTAGGCTTGTGCTGCCACATTGGCCCTGGGTTCTGCTTGGCTTCTGGGGTTTGACAATGGTTCTACTGGGGTGGACGCCCTTCCCTTGCTTCAGTTCATTTGGCTTGGATTCTCTGATTTGACATTGCATGTGTTGGGGTGTGTCACATTGGTATGTGGATCTGCTGGTATTCTCTTGTTTGATACTGTTTCTGTTTCCACTGGGAGACATTTTGGCCAGTGGTTGCTTGCTCTTCTGTGTTTGGCTATTCTTTGTCCTGGAGAAACCATGGAATTTTCTGCCACAGAAAACAATGGAGGATGGCTGGGGGCACCTTGTTCACCAAGAGGTCCAATTCAGTTGAAACTCTGGGGTTCTTTAGAGGACAGGCTGCACCAGCTCCACCACAACTGTTGTGCCATCTGGTTGAAGAACTGCTCCTCCAGCCTCCCAGAAAGATTCCCCATTGAGAATAATGGACCCAAATAATTTTGCCCCCTTCCCCCCCCCCCAAAAAAGCAACTTCAAAAACTGAACCCGTATTGGAGACCAGTGTAATCTAGAATAATTATTCCATTTATGAAATTTGGATCCGAGAAATAATTTTTTTTCCTCTGGCACACATCCCTAGCCATGCCCCTCCCCAAATTCTGTCAGGCTGCCTATCAGTTGGGCTTCATCCACCAGCCAGCTTGCTGCAATGCAGCCACGCCACCCCAGTGGATCTAGCTGCTCTGAGTCTCCATCCAGGCAGGGCACTGGCCCAGTCGGGGCAGCGTGCCTACGCGTGAGTAGAATCACTCCAAGTGAGAGGCTCCCATTGCCTACCTCCTCCCACCTCCAGTGACAACTGGAAATGTTCATGCCTTGAATGGAAGCATGGGGCACAGTCTTTTAAGGAACCACTATTTGGCCAGCAGCTTCCTTGTGGGCCTGTCAGTTGGATTGTATCAGACTGTATCAGGCAGCCTTCAGGGATCAGGAGCTCCACTGGGATGCGGCATCTCCCTCTTGGTCACCCCAGGATAGCCCAGTTAAGTGCAAGAGAGGAGGGGCTGCCTCCAGGCAGTTCATGCAAGTTAAGTGAGCTCAGAGTCAAGAAAGCTTATGCTAGAATAAATTGTGTTACTTGTGAAAGTGCCACTAGACTTCTCATTTATTTTGCCACCAGGATTAGTAATCACTACTAGGGATGGGCATAGACCAGAACAACCGAGCTTTGTATAGGTTCGTGGGTTTCACAGACCACAGACCATGGATTTTCATAGACCTTTTTGTTTAATGGACCAATTTGTGCGGTTTGTGATGTAGTACAACAATCCCCACATGGTAGAGATGCCAAACTCATAGCGAGTCTCCAGCTGACTCTCCTCTACCTACCCTCCAAGTTTGGTGAAGATTGGATTTGGGGGGCTGAGTTATAGCCACCCAAAGCAAGTGCCCCCCAGGGAAGTGCTCTCTGGGGAAATCACAGCCACAGATTCAGGAGTGTGTCGAACAGACCCCTTGCAAGCTAGAGGCATCAGACTCACAGAGGACCTCCTGAGGATACCCCTCTGCCTGCCCTCCAACTTGTGTGCAGATTGGCTTTGGGGAAGGGGGAAAAGTTCCCTAGGGTCTAATGTGCAAAAGGTGGAGGATTGTGTTAAACGCCCCCCCTGCAAACTAGAGGGAAAGGGCAAAAAGACCCCTCATTGCCAATGTGCAAAGCGGTGGAGTGTATCAGACAGCCCCCCCCCCCCCCGAAGCTAGAAACATCAAACTCATGGCAGACCTCCCTGGGATGCCCCTCTACCTGTTCTCCAAGTTGTGTACAGATTGGCTTTGGCTTACAGCTCATCTCCAGATGCAATCTGCTCCCATAGAGCAGAATGTAAGCTGTCTTACTGGCAGTCAGAGCAGCCTATCAAGCTTTGGAGGGTCGTTATTGGCATTTTCAGGGCTGCAGAAAGGCTGTAGAAGAACATTCCCCCTGGTCACCTTGACAATTAATGAGGGTGGTCTGTTGAAAACATGAATGCACAGACTTGGGCAAATGGTCAACAAATTGACCCCTAGTCCATGATGAAATTAGGTCCATGGTCCATGGTACGTTGAGAGTTGGCATAATGAACTTCTCTTGATTTTTTTAAGCAACACCCTTTTTTCAAGTTATCCTAAATATAACATGCATGGTCCAGCTGGAAATGTGCGCTCGCCTCAGGTTCAGTAGAATGAGTGGTGTCAATGCTCCCTCTAAGCTGTGGAGTCTCGTGAGCAAAAATCCTACTTTGTGAGCTACTGGTGTTAAAGTTGTGAGCGAGCGATTTGGTTACTGCATAAATTAGTTTGCTCTGGAGCCATCCTTCCTGAGCTGAGACAAAAATGTGTGAGCCGGAGGCTAAAAAACCGTGAGCTAGCTCACACTAACTCAGCTTAGAGGGAACACTGGTGGTGGTGGTGGGAAAGTGCTGTCAAGTCACAGCTGACTTATAGCGACTTCGCGGGGTTTTCAAGACAAGAGGCAAACAAAGATGGTTTTTCCATTGCTTGCCTGTGTGGAGCAGCCTTAAGACTTCCTTAGTGGTGTCCCATCCAAGCACTAACCAGGGTCCATGCTGCTTAGCTGCCTAAACTTGTTGAGATCAGGCCAGCCTGGGCCTTCCAGGCCAGGGCAGAGAAAGGGTAGATGAAAGGAAAAGGGAATAAACACAATGCCCTAGACAAGAGCTGAGAATTCATTTACCTCTCCTACTTTCCACAGAATTACTACCATTTGTGTGCACACACATACATATCTTCCCTAACCTCCAAATATATTATGGTTGCAAACTGCATAAATATAACCTCCCAGGAGAGTGTGTCAATCTATCCAGATTGGGTCAGGTTTCTGCCCCCCCCTGGGGGGGGGCTCACCTTCATAGCAACCATACCTAGAGATACATACTTGGGTTATCAGGTCTAGAGAGACACTTGAAAAACTCCTACTTTGTGAGCTACTGGCGTTAAAGTTGTGAGCGAGCGATTTGGTTACTGCATAAATTAGTTTGCTCTGGAGCCATCCTTCCTGAGCTGAGACAAAAATGTGTGAGCCGGAGGCTAAAAAACCGTGAGCTAGCTCACACTAACTCAGCTTAGAGGGAACACTGGTGGTGGTGGTGGGAAAGTGCTGTCAAGTCACAGCTGACTTATAGCGACTTTGCGGGGTTTTCAAGACAAGAGGCAAACAAAAATGGTTTTCCCATTGCTTGCCTGTGTGGAGCAACCTTAAGACTTCCTTAGCGGTGTCCCACCCAAGCACTAACCAGGGTCCGTGCTGCTTAGCTGATTAAACTTGCTGAGAATCAGGCCAGCCTGGGCCTTCCAGGCCAGGGCAGAGGAAGCGTAGATGGAAGGAAAAGGGAATAAAGGGAATAAACACAATGCCCTAGACAAGAGCTGAGAATTCATTTACCTCTCCTACTTTCCACAGAATTACTACCATTTGTGTGCACACACATACATATCTTCCCTAACCTCCAAATATATTATGGTTGCAAACTGCATAAATATAACCTCCCAGGAGAGTGTGTCTTTACATTTACTTTGTATTTCATTGTCACAAATTCAAATAGTCTAAAATGGAGGGCTCTCAACAACAATTCTGGAGCACACAAACACAAGCAAAAGGAAAATACCTAGCAGGCAGATGGCTAGCCACCATCTGCACTTTTCTACATGTGTCATGGTTCCTCATCACAAAAATCACCCCTCCCAAAACCACATCATGCCTATATAGGGCAAAATTCACAGCATGGAAAACTAGCTTTAAAGCTTTCCGTGGGGGGGGGGGACAAAACTTGCTTGGGAAGTTCTCCCCCTTAATTAAGGTTTAAAGGCAGCTTTGCCCCTATCCAGTTACCTGGAAACCTTTTAGGTTTAGTTCCTTTCATGCCATATTACCACAGAGCTGGGGCTCTTAGAATTTCCTTTCATTATCGAACCCCCAGTGACAGAGCTGTCCTTTTAAAGTCCAAAGCTGACACAAAACCCCACTGATTTTATTTTGAAGACTAGGAGAATACAATTGATAGCTTTCATGTGTTACGTTACTTACCCATAAATCACATCATCGTCTGAGTCATTCAGCATGGAAAAGGCAGGATTGTCTTTCAACTGAGATTCTGAAAGGTTTTGCAGGAAGAAACACATTTAACAAACAAGAACTTTCCAACTCCTGGGGCTCCATCCATACAGTGTATCATATTGTTAGTGGTCTTCTCCTTCCTTTACTGTTGCCCAGCCCCCATTCCCCATTGATATACTATATCCTGTGGATCTGGTACACAATATGTTGTGGATCATCTGTGAACTGACATCAAACTTTTAAAACATACTCAGTTTCAAAACAATAAAACCTCGTAGATATAAGTTGTAAGAAGAAATTCAGGGTCAGATTACCATTTTTAACATGTTCCTAACTCCATACCTCTGTTTTAATCTCAAACACGTCTATTAAGAAAGCCACCAGAAAGCGTGAAACTCCCATCTAACTGATAACTTATTCCATTCTATCTTCCTGCTGTACATCTAAAGCATGGTGGGGAAATTAGCACCAACTAAAACCCAGCCCGACTCTTACACCATGCAGTTCAGAATACAGCAGTGAAGAAAACTGTTAAATTTAAAGGTGCAGATAGATGGTATGCCAGCTTCCACTATTAACACGGTCACTTTTTATTTCAACTTCTTTCATTGGGGGAGAATATATGCTTAAATCTCCCATTTATATCAGTAGAATATCAGCATCTATAAATGCTGGATAATTCCTATAATTTAAATTAAGTACAGAAAAATTGTATATGCTATTTTCTATTTCTTTCATAAAAAGATTAGGGATGGTTTATATGCCGCAGGATAATTTCATTCTCCTCTAGACTGTCTACAATGAAGGAAAAAGCTCTGGGTAAAAGGTAATGCAACAGAATTTAAATAACTAACATGCATAGAAAGGAGAACTCAGGACTCATTCTCAGTCAGTCATGGGATTCAGATCTGCTTTCCTCTGCTCAGATCTACAGCCATGTTTAATCTCATTTTTTAACATGTGACTTAATTTCTAGCTAACTCCAGTGCCACCTGTTCATGTAACACGTTCAGGTCATCCTACACGTCTAATGTTTGATGGACTGAAACAGTCAGTTTTCTTCTTCTGTACATACATGACAAAGCAACAGAAGAAGTGATATGTGGTGGCAGAACAGCAGAGAATGTGCACTTTACTCATTTTGCTACATGAAGCACCACTTGATACCAAAGTCTGCCCTGCTCATCCTATAGTTCCCTGAGTGTTTCAGGCAACGGTATGGAAGGTAACCTTTTCTGCAACAAAATAGTTCAAGAAGAAGCAACTGAGACTCACTTACCATACAGTGCATTTTTTGATGGTGAATACACAAAGGCTAATGTGTAGAGATAAAAGTTCAATAAGCCATAGAATGACAAGAACTCTGCAGGTGATAACAGTCAAGGATATAACACAAAACAGCTCCTGATGCTCATCTCTGAACTGCCGACTGAAAACCTGGACATGGCCCTCACCCAAATTAAGTATCTAGAAAACAATTAAAGGTGGCTCCACAACATAAGGGAAGCATCCAAAAAAACCTGGGAAAACCTGGCAGCTTTGCAAGTGAATTGGTCTGACATGTATTAAGATTCATATTATTATAATAAATCAAAAATCCATTGATTGCCCCAGGTACAAAACTATGCATAAATGGAAGCAGAGGATACTACACTTCATAGCCATAACAGCAACCGTGCATGGCAATGCCCCTGCATGACCACGTTTACACTGTGCACCAACTGTGGCCAACCTACCTACCATTCTGTGCTACCACTTTATTCTTCTGTGGCTGGAAGCAAAACTGGCCCTGCCCAGCAGGTGGAAATCAAGAGCACTTCCACAGCAAACTGGAACTGAAAAGGCATGTGTTACTCTAGCACTGGTGGTGCAAATACACTGCTGTGAACTGTTGACATTATGCTCTAAACCTCAAAGCTCTTTTGTGGTAGCTGAAATCACTGACACTTCCTCTAAGAAAGTGCACATTCCAATGTTTTTTGAGCCAGAAGGCAGCAGAATGCTTAAGCTGGTGATGCATGATGCACCAGAAAGCTATCCCCCTACACACATGCTAGACTCAGATAAATCACAAATGTATTTCTACGCACAGTGGTGTTTATTACTCCAGTGGTGTTTGCATCAAAACCAGACTCATTCCGTCAAACAGCCTGACTGAAACCTGAATCTAACAGGAGGACACAACAAAAGGATATAGTTATGATAATGAGTTGAAAGTTCAGCCACAAGATTGTCCTGTAAAACTTGTGCTCCAAATCGCAGATACAGTATAGCAATGCTGATGGATAGGGAGAGAGAAATTGAAGTATTACTCTACATTTTGTAATCAATTTTCAAATCAAGGTTCAATGGAACAGAATGCTAAAGTGTTATTCTTCCTGATTAAATCTATTATCAGTGAGCAGGAAATCCCCATACTTTGAAACACAGGTGCATTGACACATCCGGAAGAGGGTGGGGTTAAGGTAGAAAGCTGCAGATCCAAAGTCTTGTCTCCTGTGTTGTAGTGAACACATAAGGTAACAAAAGGGTGGGACAAAAAAAAACTTGCAGTGCACCATATCCTTAGGGGGTTCCACATACTGGCTTTCGAGCAAGTGAAACCTCTACATTTACCTTTTCAAGGACAGAAAACAACCGCACCACAAACTCTGAACTGCAGCATCACAAGATTTGGTGATGGTCAGTAACACGTACATCTTTTTGAAAACAAGTTAGTCAAGATGGAATCTATCAGCCACTATTAGCCATAACAGCAAACAGCAGTCTGAGTACAAGATGCTGGAATACTAAAATGGACTTGTATGCTTGCTCATGAGCTTTCTAGAGGCTTACAGCTGACTCTCATGGAAAAAGACAAAATCAGACTAGAAAAGATGGACCTTCATCTGATCCAGCAAGTAAGTTCGTATTGTTTTGTTTTTATTTCCTAATAACAGGCATCAATTAATCTACAGCTCAGAGAAGGACCTTAGGCAGAGTCTGCTTGCAGACGTTGCCTGTCAGTCCCTGGGGGCTGCAACCATGTCAGTCTCAAAGACACTGTTGTTCAGTCGCACAGTCGAGCAACCCCATGGACAAGATCACGCCAGGCCCTCCTGTCCTCCGCCGTCCTCCTCAAAGACACTACAAGCCTCCTTTTTTGGCATCTTCTGAAAAAGACTACCAGATTTACTAAGGAGTGAGCTTTTGTCAGCTAGTGTCTACATCGTCAGATACCTGAAGCGAACGCCAGTTCACAAAACCTTATGCTTTAGTAAATCTGGGGGGGGAGGCACATTTGAGAGATCAGGCATTGAACCACTATGAACAGAGTATGTGATCTTCCACTGAGCTACAGTTGCTCAATATTTGCCTTGAATGTACACTCAGCAGTGCACCATCTAATACAGAAGTGTCAAACTCATTTGTTAACGAGGGCTGGATCTGACATACATGTCACTTTGTCAGGCCAGGGCAGTGTGCCATAAAACGCAATGCCAGGTACTAGAGATACAAACTTTATAAAGGACAGTAGCTGGTAAGCTCGGAGTTGGTGTGCCCTCACTGCAAGGCCCCTGGGCTGGGGGAGGGGGTTGCACAGAAAAACCCGTATGGGTGGAATGGAGAGTCATAGGTGTAGCACTGGGCAGACACCCCCACATTGCCTGGAGAGGAGGGCAAACCCTTTCCCCAGCCTGCTCCTGCTGCCAATGCTGTGAGCCCGGGCTCCAGCACCGGATCCACAAGGCCGCACATGTAGCAGAGGCCCCAGGCTACCCAGTCACCAGTATAGCCAAAGACTGCTAGCACCAACCCCTGTGGCTGAAGGCTACTTAGTGTTCCATGGGTGAGGGAAGCCCAGCCGCCAAGTTGCACGCTTGGGGGCAGGAATAGGCCCCTGATGTGTGTACAAAACTGCCAAAGAATCCCCCCCATGGGCCAGCTGTCGCATTGGGGGGGGGGCGTGAATATGGTGGTGGTGCTGGCTGCCAACTGGCCCCAGCAGAGCATCCTCTGTGTTCCCCCACCACGTGCAAACACCAATTCCCCACAGCCATCTTGGACTGTATCCCCAGAGCTGCAGGTCCAGCTGAGAGGCGTGCCATCTCACCTTGGAACCCTGAGTCAGCATGAATGCAGCTGTGGTGGCTCCCAACTTACCAGTGAGTCTGCCACTGAAGCGAAGGGGTACTGCTTGACTGCTGCAGAGGAGGTTGTTCTGCAGTGCTGAAGCCACAATCAGAGTGACACTGGCCACTCCCCCCCCGCCACCTCCTGTTCCCTTCCCTCGCACCAGTTGCTTATGGGCTAGATAAGAGCCCTGGACAGGCTGCTTGCAGCCCCTGTGCCTTGTTAGACACCCCTGAGTTCTAATATTTGCTTTACTGGCAACATAAAATGGTTTTACGTGAATTGCAGCTTATTATATTCTATTTTTACCATCTTTTACACCCAAAGGTATATTACCAAGATGCCTTACTTACAAAAAAGAAGCCTCTTACCTAATTATAAGCACCACAAATGTCAATGCAGTCAAGAATTTTAGCCTGAGATCTAGAAAAAGGAAAACAAACAGTGCTGAAGCCACAATCAGAGTGACACCAGCCACTCACACCCCCCCGCTACCTCCTGTTCCCATCCCTCGCACCAGTTGCTTGTGGGCGAGATAAGAGCCCTAGACAGGCTGCTTGCAGCCCTTGTGCCTTGTTAGACACCCCTGAGTTTTAATATTTGCTTTACTGGCAACATAAAATGGTTTTACGTGAATTGCAGCTTATTATATTCTATTTTTACCATCTTTTACACCCAAAGGTATATTACCAAGATGCCTTACTTACAAAAAAGAAGCCTCTTACCTAATTATAAGCACCACAAATGTCAATGCAGTCAAGAATTTTAGCCTGAGATCTAGAAAAAGGAAAACAAAGAGTTATCTGAAACACCTGTCAGAAAAACACTTCATTATAGAAAAGGCAGGTTGTGAAGAAATGCACTGTCTCCTGGAGGGTTGGCAAACAGCAAAAGCCTTCCCTGTGCATTTTACCAGGGTTTTTTCCCCTCTAGTCAGAGGAGGAAGGCCGTTGGCTGGCACATCAGCTTACCTTCTTACAAATGGTAATGACCCTAGCAAGGAAGACAATGGGATGGTTAAGCCTTCCCCCTTTCCCAGGAAAGAAACAGAGTTTGAAGGGCTTTAGGCTAGACCAGCCCCAGATTCAATCTCCAGGAATGGGCTGGAGGAAATGCTTCTTTGACCTGGTGTAACCTGGTCAAAGGGGCAGAGACAGCAAGTTAATAAAACTTCCTTGTCAGAGGTAGTTGCTCTCTGTTTTCTTTGGGATGCTGAGCTGAACAGATCTCTTGTCTGAGGTTGGGAGCAGGCAGCCATTTTGGACCATGCAGCTGGCCTAAAGAGCTGGGAACAAGCTTTAAGGTAATGGAGGATCTTTAGAGAATTAGAACACCTAAGATAAAGAGCCTGTTCTATATTTTACCATCAGATAGGGCACATATAGCTGAGAGGTACAGAGGATTTGCATTTTACCCATTTCTTTTGTTCTTCCTCAATCTGGTGCAGTGCTAAAAATATGCTTGTAAACATTTTCTTTTTAATAAATATTTTAAACTGTCAATGCAAGGTGTGGTTCTCTGTACCACATAGACTCTGTTTTGAACATGCTGTTTTAAAAGGGAGCCCCAGGGGGAGGGGAAGGCAAGCAGTTGGCAACTGGCAATTCCCCCAGGGCACACAGAGCATTAAACTATCCCTGTGGTAGCCAGGCACTGGGCTAGTGGGAGACACTGAGACAAGGCCTCTGAGTTTGGAAAGGGAGCTGAGGGTACTGATCCCTTCAGTAGGAAATCCCTATATTAATCAGGTGGTGGTGGTCTATTCATGAGTAAAGGGAAAGCCCCTCCATGGAGCTGGGAATCCCCAAATAGGGCAGGGCAGAACAGGACATGCAGGCCAGAGTAGGCACGTTCTACCACACAGGTACAGAACACAACTTACCAACATAAGGCATGTTACGAAGTTCAGAGCATGCCCTGATTATTAGAAACATGAGGTACAAAATGTACACAGTTGCCACCACAAGGAAAAAGATTTTCATTCCCTGTGAAGAGAATATAAAACAAACTTTTATCAATTCATATTAATATTTACCAATGAATATTTCTTTACCTTACATCTTTATATTATAGAAATAGAAACTACCATCTATACAATCATGAATGTCTGGTCCATCTGTTCAGTGTAGCTAGGTAGAAAAGGATACAGCACTCTACTGAGGTGTGTATGTGATGGGGAAATCTAAAATGGCAGCTATGAATACTAAAAGCACAAAATATCACTACCACATCTAAGTTATTCTGTTCTCTGGATTGTTTGTACAACTCCTAAGAAGTCACAGGACGCAGAAGAAAAAGACACTTTCCCACAGGAGGTACCAAAAATCTGTGATGAAAATGTCTGAAAAGGTCAATGCCAAGATTGACATATTTGAAACATGAGCACAGACAGAACTCCACTAACTGTAGTTTAGTACATCTGTATCTGCCTCAAGAGCAGATACAGGCTGGATCTGTAGGGAGTCTTTCATTGATGGAAGGGCACTCTACCAGCAGAAAGGGTGAGGTGATTTTTGATGACTCCTCTGTTCCCACTGCAGGCCCCCACTTTATCCTTCAGGAGCAGCCATTTAGGGAACCCAGTGAACTGTCCTGGGAGAAGGGGGGTAGTAAAGTTCTGTCCCACCAGTGGAGCTCTGCCAATGGTACTTTGGATCCGAGCCCCATATGTTTGCAGTATGACACCTACTCTACATCCTAGTCAATGAACGCTTCCCAAACAAGCACGGTTTTGCAATGTTCACAAAATCTAGTACAGCTAGGGCTCTTGTGCATCCCTAGGCATACTGAGTTCCCTTGATCACAGCCAGCCGTGAAGAATGTCTTGAAATGCAAACTTGGGACACAGAATGCAACTATAAGGTTTTCAAAATATTTTTACAGAATATGCCTCTTCATAAATGGGAAAATATAACACAAAAACTCACAAAAATGTTTCCATACACTAAAGCTTTCAAGACTTCCCTACATATTTAGCCACATTTTCTTGGTCATCTCATTTTCTCTTAATCAAGTAATCTAATCCTGTGTTTTATTTTACTGCATAAACAAGACACTTCTACTGGATTTTAGAAACTACAAGTAGAATAAAATTAAAGATCTACTTTATGACTAACAAAAGTACATGTTGCAAAGTGGGCAACAACAGGACTTCATCAGGATTAGAGGATTTTGTTGAACATGGAAGTCCAATGACTACAAGAGGTAATGTGTCACATCAACAAATTCCTATTGTAGACATGATAATCACAGATTTAATGAAATCAAACTTCTATTCCTGAACTAAGATACAGAATTGTCACTACAGGTATAAAGACCCAATAAACAAGACACACACCCCAAAGGCATCATTCCATGAAAATTAAACTCCAACTAGAAAACAATCAATATTAAGTGGCAGAGTGCATCTTCCATTTAGCAACATGTTTTACACAAAGGAGTACAAGAGATGGCTGAAAGATTTCTTGGAAAGGGCACAATATTTTTCAGAGTCTGCTCTGCAAAGCACAGTTTACCACTAACTTACCTGAAAATGACTTGCATCGATCCCATACTGGTATGTTGGGTCATGGAGTTCATTGACACTTTGGGGACAAAAAAAGAACCCAACATCATGAATATAAGGAATTACATGTAGTAGTAAAATACTTCCATGGAGGATCAGGAAGGGAGGAGGAAGAGGCCAAAGACTTGGGACATAGGTGGCAAGTTTTTGGTTTTTAAGGACATTTAAAAAAAATAAAATACGCAGAAACAAAAAATCTAACATAAGACACACTTTAAACAAGTTATCAAGCATGTGTGTGCATTCAGACAGATTTAAATCTTCTGATAAGGCTGCCAACCTCCAGGTGGTGGCTGGAGATGCCCTGGGATTACAACTGATCTCCAGGCGACAGAGATCAGTTCATCTGGAGAAAACGGCCACTTTGGAAGGTGGACTCTTTGGCATTATACCCCATTCGAGTTCCTCCCCTCCCCCAAACCTGCCCTCCTCAGGGTCCACCTCCAAAATCTCCAGGTATTCCCCAACCTGGAGATGGCAACCCTATCTTCTGATGGTTGCCAGAACATTTCCTTCAAAGAGACAAGTAATTTATTTCTAATTAGAGTATGTAAGCATTAGTGCAATCATGCTTATTTACAAAAATGGAAAAAGTTGAACCCGTTCTGTCGTTGAACCATTAGGTATCTCCTTATAATGTAAATATATATCCCTGAAGACCAAAATCATTAGGTACCTTCCTGTGTTTTCTAAATGGTATCTACATTTCCATACAAGATTAAATTCAGGAAAAATTAAGATTGCTTTCTGAACTCTTCAGATCTTTGTAACATTTTACTAAAAGAGCCATACTGTAACCCAATATAAACCATGAGGGAATAGACCACCATCCACACTAACAGCATAAAAGGATGCAAATCCTATAGAAGGTTATCTGAAGATCATTAAAAGTCACATTTTGCCTTCACCACCATTAGAGAACAATTCCTTTTTGACATAGACCAATCACATTCTGGCTGGATTTTATCTTAATTATGAAGTAAAATTAAAGTATTACTAGGATAACTACTAGCAATGCATTTTCCAAATCAGAGAAGGACAGAGAGAAAGTGCATCCATTTAATTTGCCCAAGGGTGAATCCATGGGTGAACTCCTGGGTCCAAATTCAAGTTTTACACAAGCAATCTTATTCATGCAAAACAATATATCTTTATCCATACATTTTCAAAGTCAGCTTGTATGCTGGCTAGACAATAAAGACAGAACTACACACTCAAATAATATAATAGCTATTAAAAAAGCACAGCAAGATAAAGAAACTAGCAATGAACAACAGCACTTTCCTCAAATGATGAAGGTTACTAAACCTTGTGGTGTGATTAATAAAAATTGCTGGGTATGTTGTTATTAACTTGAAACACTGAAGACAAGCATACAATGAAAGACTCAAAATCTTGGTCATATGTTAACAGAAGGACAATCCACAGAACACACACACACCCGCCGCCAAGTTGTCTTAACATCTACTGGTGTGCATAATACCACCCATTTGAGAAATGACTCTAACAGTGAAACAAAGGAGAAAAATCTAAAAGTAAAAAAAGAATCTTTCTTCAGGGCTGGAACATTAATGACAAACAGAGGAACTGCAGACTACAAATCTTTCCATTGAAAAACTACTTTGCTTATTCAGGAGTAACTGGTGAATAGAGAGGACAAAAAGAAGTGAAGGAAACTTACGTCTGCCATATTCCTAATGTAACAGAAGCCAACCATAGAAGACCAACAATAAAAACCTTTGGAAAATAAAACGTTAAGCACCTCCTTTCTCCCTAAAACAAAACAAAAAAGATTAAGATTACTGAACGTTTTTCTGGTATACATTTTCTGTACTGTGAAATATTACTTGATTTATCTTTAAAAGACAGCAATATCACTCTGTGTGTATGTGTGTGTATTTGCCATCAAGTCACAGCTGACTTATGGTGACCTCATAAGGTTTTCAAGGCAAGGGACGTTCAGAGGTGGTTTCGCATTGCCTAGCTCCATGACATGACCCTGATATTCATAAGAACATAAGAGATGCCAATGTTGGATCAGGCCAAAGGCCCATCCAGTCCAACACTCTGTATCACACAGTGGCCAGAAATACCAGTGCCATCAGGAGGTCCACCAGTGGGGCCAGGACATTAGAAGCCCTCCCACTGTTGACCCCCCCCCCCAAGCACCAAGAGGACAGAGCATCACTTGCCCCAGAGCCCCTAGCTATACCTTGTGGCTAATAGCCACTGATGGACTTCTGCTCCATATGCTTATCTAATACCCTTTTGAAGCCGTCCATGCTTGTAGCCACCACCACTTCCTGTGGCAGTGAATTCCATGTGTTAATCACTCTTTGGGTGAAGAAGTACTTCCTTCTATCCGTTCTAACCCGACCGCTCAGCAATTTCATGGAGTGCCCACGAGTTCTTGTATTGTGAGAAAGGGAGAACAGTACCTCTTTCTCTACCTGCTCTATCCCATGCATAATCTTATAAACCTCAATCATGTCACCCCTCAATCGTCGTTTCTCTTGGACTTCCGGTTTGTGGATCAGTGATGGCAGTTGTTCTCCCCGGACCTTGGGGGAGCGACTCGCACACCAGCGGTATGGAGGGGTGCTACCTCAAGTAGCACCCACACGGAGCCTTTATGATAGGCTCCAGGCCATAGGGCTTTTGAGTGGCAGCCTCTTTGATGGCTAAATGCCGGAGAATTGAGGCTTCCCTCCGCCCTGACGGTCCTGCCGCTGTGTGGCCCTCGGGCACAAGCTGATTCGACTGGGACAAGCGCTGGAGATCGAGCGGAATATCAATTACTGTGATCAAGGTCAGAGAAATGACCGACAATGAACGTGAGTTCAAAATAAGTGGAATATTTTAAAAGCAAACTACCCCCCCCCATGGGAAAAGCGGAGCGCAAAGAGGGATGCCTCTTATGCGAACGGACAGATAAGC